GGAGGAGGAGGAGGAGGAGGAGGAGGAGGAGGGGTTGAGAGGAGCACGGCGGAGCGCTATCCGCCCCGGGGTCGGAAAACGTGGCAGGCGTGACACTTTCTCGGCGCCTCAAGGGAGTGCGCAAGTGTTTGGTATACAAACACAAGAATATAAAAAACAGTATGTGGGGTTCCTCGGTAGCATAATTTATATATACATCTATATACACATATGAGAAGATTGCCAGGGTACGATCGACTGCGCGTGGCCACGGGCTTTCGCCACCTGCTCGTCGAACCCCAGGGCGCGCCTCTGGGCGAGGATCCACGCTCGGTTCGACTCGGGCCTGGTGGCCTACAAAGTTAGGGGTCACTCGGCGATCCATGATGCGTGGGCGGGGCGGAGGGCGGAGTGGGAGCGGGCGGGGCATTGTTTGGCAGGCAACTTCGCCCGCCGCGGAGCGGCCTGTCACCCCTCCACCGCGTCGGCCCACGCGGGCATCCAAGCCCTGGACCTCGCGGTCCCAGAGGCGGCTCGCTGGACCGCGCAGCAGGAGGTGAGGTTGGCCGAGTCCTCGGCCCAGGACTCCGACGCCCTCCCGCGGGCTGGGGCGGGGGAGGAGGTGGGGGCCCGCCTTCGCCCTTCGGCGTCGGCGCCCCCGCCCCTGCCTCGCGCGCTTGTTTCGGGAGGGCGCGGCCGCTTCAAGCCCCGGAGCCCTTTGGCCTGCGGCTCTCGAGACGATCCCAAGTAGTCGCCGCTGCTGCAGCTCCTCGGACGCGGTCTGCGCGCGGCCGCTGTCTCCGATCGCGGGCGATGTTTCCCCCCCAATCCCCGAGCTTCGCCCGAAAATTCTGAATGGGAAAACCCTGGGATACACCCCGAGGGGGCTATTCGGACGCACCCCTATCGAGAATGGGCACCCCCCCATCGTATATCCCAGGGTTAGGCCCCAAATTTCTGGCCCATTCGGAAACCCCACGAAGCCTGGGATAGGGGTCGACATATCCCCTGTTATCCGACCCCCGCGGGGCCACCATTCTCTCGGGGCCCGCGGCCCTCGTGTGCACCGCCTGCGGGGGCTACGCGCGGGGGGGCGTCGCCTCGCTGGCTCGCCCGCGCGGGGACAGGCCGCCCACCAAGCGCGCGGGTCGGCGACCGGCGAGGGCGTGGAGGTTTTTTTTTTCCCCTCGTGGCCCCCCCGGCATGGGGGCTGGCGGCTCGGGCCCTTGCGGGAGCTCTCTTCGGGTGACCTCCTGGCCCTGGCGGCCCCTCGTGTACTTGGTGGCGCGCGGGCCTCGCCCGGGGCCCAGGAGCCCGCCTGGGGGGCTCGGTGGTCCCGCGAGGAGGTTCTTCGGAGGTTCGGAGCTTCCCCGGGCCAGCTCGAATTTCTGAAGGTGCGGGACGGGGACTCGGGCCCTCCTGAGGGGGAAGAGGCCGAAGATCCCGCCCTTCGTCGAGCTGGCTAAGTGGTTGTGTTGTTAGGCGTGGCAGGCACCGCCCCAGGTCGTAAACTAGAATATAATGGAGTAGAACAGAATAGAATAGACTAGAATATAATAGAATAGAACAGAATGTCATAAAATAAAATAGAAGAGAATAAAGGCGGCGAGGAGAAGTAGGAGAGGGGAGGGGGAGGAGAAGGATGCGCAAAAGGGAGGGACGAGGGACTTGATGGCACAATGGGCGACGGATGAGGGAAGGGAGGGTAGGAAGTTGCAAAGGGGAACGGCGAGGAGGCAATGGGAACAGGTCGGAAGGAGCAGATGGGTGAAAGAGGAAGGAGGGCAGAGTGAAACGGGTAGGAGGGCAGATATCCTTTTATTTGTTTCGCCGTGCCAGGGGCCGAGATGGGGGGCACGTGGGTAAGTGAACCATGTCCTTCGGTGCATTTCCAAAAAAAACAAAGGACCCAACCATGCGCCTCTGCGAGCACAAATTGACGGTATGGGGGCGGGGTGGTGGTGTGTGTGTGTGTGTGTGTGTGTGCGTGTGTGTGTGGGTGGGGGGGTGGGGGGGGGGGCGGGCGAGCAACAAGGACTGGGGCACAGACAGGACTGGCAGAGGCGAACAAGATCACGGCGGGGGATCGGATCGGGGCTCGAGTTGGGGAGTTAGCGGATGTTCGGAGAGCGTTTGTTTAGGCGCCAGCCAGATACACCGATGTCGCCCCCGTTCCAAGGCACGAGGGCAGCGCATGCAGGCACAGCGCATGGGGAGTCCTTGCGGCGCGTGCTGGTCGCCCCGGACAAACCCATGCAATCCCTTGCAGTTGGGTTTTAGCTGGGGCCCCCTATGGGGCCACGAAGCGCGTGGGGGATGTACCGAGATGAAAGGAGGGAGTTCGTGTGAACTTGGGCATTTGGGTTTCGAATGGGGCCCCCCATGGGGTCCTTACTAAGCGTGCGAGGGTCGTGCCGAAATGGAAGGCGGGAATTCATGCGAACCGCGTCACTTCGGGCCTAGTTGGGCACCCCATGTGGGGCCACGGAAGTGTGACGGATATGCCGCAATGATAGGCGGGACTTCATGCGAACCGTGGCATTTGGGTTTTCATTGGGGCTCTTTGTGGGGCTGCGGGACGTGTGGGGGGTGTGCCAAAGCGAGTAGTTGGAATGTATGTATGCGAACAGCCGCATGTGAACCTCCTTCTGAGCCCCTCATGGGGCCACAAATCGCGCGGGCTGCGTGCCGACATGAAAGGCGGGAACTCATGTGAACCCTGGTATATGGGCCTTAGTTGGGGCTTCCTGTGGGGCCACGAACCGCGTGAGGAGTGCACCGAGATGAGAGGAGGGGACTCATGTGCACTTGGGCATTTGGGCCTGGGTTGGGGCTCCTGATGGGGCCACGAAACGAGCGAGCTGCGCACCGAAATGAGAGGCGGGGATTCATGCGAAGCGTGGCACCTGCGCCTTCGCCGGGGACGTTCCATGGCCGCGAAGCGTTCCAGGGGCGCGCTGAAATGAGAGGCGGGAACTCATGTGAACTTCGACAGTTGGAGCTTAGTTAGGGCCCCTATGGGGCAACGAAACGTGCGAGGTGTGTGTGTATGTGTATGTGCATGTGTATGTGTATGTGTATGTGTATGTGTATGTGTATGTATATGTATATGTTTATGTGTGTCTGCAGAAACAAGAGGTGGGAACTCATGTGGAATTGAGCATTCGAGCCTTAGGTGGGACAGCGAGGGCACGATTTTGTCGAACGAGTGCTCCGGCAGCAGCTTGACACTCACGTGGCTGAGCGAAGTATGGAAGACTTGGGTCTATCTTCGCAGCGCTGCGGATTTCAATGCTCTGTATGAGAAGTACGAGGCGTCTTTGAAGTCAGCTGGAGACTTTCAGCAAGAATGCAAGATTACGAACGAATGCGCAGATAACCGAACTAATGGCTGAAGTGATAGATCTCGAGTGGAATATTGTTTTGTTCAGCGAGAAGGACGCTAGCAACGGATATTACATTAGAATGGAGGCATACATTGTTTCTACATTTGGATGGTAATGTTGCCGCGGGTGTTGGCATCAAGTTCACGAGCGCCACGTTCCGAATGTTCGCAGGATGTGCACGGCGGCTGGCCGCATCATTGGTATATAGACATAGCTTCGGGAAAACGCGCGTACACGCGCATTGCAACCTATGTCCCTCGTTTTTTTGTCTCTGGATGAGTCCACAAAGTTCTATGACGAGCTTGACAACACGGTGCGCGCGGCCAAGAAGAAAACGAAGCATGTCCTCATTGGTGGCGGTTGGAATACTCAGTACAATATTGGAACAAGTGGGCAAAAGTTGAACGAAATCTTAGCGTGCCATGGTTTTCAGGTATCGAATTTCCCACCACGCCTGAACTACGTCGACGTAGACGCGTGGACATTTCGATCGAGCCTTGGACACACGGTGCGTAGATTTCATCTCGGTGGCGGCTTCTTTGCACGTGGGGGGCAGTAGAGCGGTTGATGTCTTAAGATTGGGATCGGACCACCGAGCCGTACATGCGCAGTTGAGCCTGATAATCTCTGCCCGGAAGCACCCGCGCAAACGGAATCACCGAGGTTAGCAGCCACGCAATGAAGCCGAGTACGGCAACGATTTGGATGTGTATCTGTATCTTCACGACAGCCCACCATCCAAATTTTCTGATTTGGACGCGTGCTTGGCCGCAGTAGCTCCAGGGCACGCCCGACTGTTCGAAGAACCACATGCTTTTAGGAACCGGACTGTTTTCCAGGAGTTCTTGCGTCAACGTCGCGCTTTTCCATGCGGGTCTGAAGCCAGGCGGGACATGTCCAAGCGCATTCGCCGGATTGTGCGCGCGAGTTCTGTGATTTACATCGGTTCGCAGCAACCAGGTTCTTCCTTGCCAAAACCAAGACGGACAAGTCAGACGCACAATGTCGACCTGAATGTTGGGCCAGCCTCTTGGAGAACATCTTCTCATCAACAGCTGCGATGCCACCGGAGATGTCCGACCGCCGCGAATGTGGTAACATTCCCCAGTTCACCAGGATGGAATTGAACAGAAAAACAAAACCAAAAAAACATCACCCCGTTGAGCAACACAAGGCGCTGACACCGATGGAATTGTTGCGGAGATGTTGAAGCACGCTTCTGACACGTTACTTGACTGGCTTTTTGTCTTTCGATAACCAAACCTTATTGAGTGGGGAGGTGGAGGAATCCTGGAAAGATGCGCCATTGACGCTGCTCCCTGAGATCTGGGGACCTGGCGCAGCCACAAAACTGCGGACCGATTGCTGTTCTGAAAACAACATACAAAATCTTTCCCGTATTTTGCACCATCGCCTGCGCGACATTCTGGAGCAGGCGCAAGGGCCAGACCAGGTCGGATTCTGGCCGGACCACTCGGTTGATGTCGCGTTCTTAGCGATTGGCGATTGGAATTGCATGCAGTAAGTGAATCGAGTTGCAGGTGCCGCTATGGCGTGCCAGCGTTGACCTTCGCAAAGCGCTCGGCCGGATAGAGTGCAGCCCTCTGTTTGACGCTCTTCGTCGCTGAGGCGTCGATGCATGTTACACTGTTCCCAACCATCCTGTGGTGTTGGGTCCTCGTTTTGAAGAGACGGTGGTCCGCGTCTCCTCCTCCTCCTCTCCTCTCCTCTCTTCTGCCGTCCGCATGCGTCCCGCACACCCATTTCGGCACACCCCTCACACGTTTCGTGGCCCCACAGGGAGCTCCACCGAAGGCCCCAGTGCTGCCGTCCGCATGCGTCCCGCACACCCATTTCGGCACACCCCTCACACGTTTCGTGGCCCCATAGGGAGCTCCACCGAAGGCCCCATGGCTGCCGTCCGCATGCGTCCCGCACACCCATTTCGGCACACCCCTCACACGTTTCGTGGCCCCACAGGGAGCTCCACCGAAGGCCCCAGTGCTGCCGTCCGCATGCGTCCCGCACACCCATTTCGGCACACCCCTCACACGTTTCGTGGCCCCACAGGGAGCTCCACCGAAGGCCCCAGTGTTGCCGTCCGCATGCGTCCCGCACACCCATTTCGGCACACCCCTCACACGTTTCGTGGCCCCACAGGGAGCTCCACCGAAGGCCCCAGTGCTGCCGTCCGCATGCGTCCCGCACACCCATTTCGGCACACCCCTCACACGTTTCGTGGCCCCACACCCCTCACACGTTTCGGGCCCCATGGGCCGTCCGCATGCGTCCCGCACACCCATTTCGGCACACCCCTCACACGTTTCGTGGCCCCATAGGGAGCTCCACCGAAGGCCCAGTGGCTGCCGTCCGCATGCGTCCCGCACACCCATTTCGGCACACCCCTCACACGTTTCGTGGCCCCATAGGGAGCTCCACCGAAGGCCCCGTGCTGCCGTCCGCATGCGTCCCGCACACCCATTTCGGCACACCCCTCACACGTTTCGTGGCCCCACAGGGAGCTCCACCGAAGGCCCCAGGCTGCCGTCCGCATGCGTCCCGCACACCCATTTCGGCACACCCCTCACACGTTTCGTGGCGTGGCCCATAGGGAGCTCCACCGAAGGCCCCAGTGCTGCCGTCCGCATGCGTCCCGCACACCCATTTCGGCACACCCCTCACACGTTTCGTGGCCCCATAGGGAGCTCCACCGAAGGCCCCAGGCTGCCGTCCGCATGCGTCCCGCACACCCATTTCGGCACACCCCTCACACGTTTCGTGGCCCCACAGGGAGCTCCACCGAAGGCCCCATGGCTGCCGTCCGCATGCGTCCCGCACACCCATTTCGGCACACCCCTCACACGTTTCGTGGCCCCACAGGGAGCTCCACCGAAGGCCCCAGTGCTGCCGTCCGCATGCGTCCCGCACACCCATTTCGGCACACCCCTCACACGTTTCGTGGCCCCATAGGGAGCTCCACCGAAGGCCCCATGGCTGCCGTCCGCATGCGTCCCGCACACCCATTTCGGCACACCCCTCACACGTTTCGTGGCCCCACAGGGAGCTCCACCGAAGGCCCCATGGCTGCCGTCCGCATGCGTCCCGCACACCCATTTCGGCACACCCCTCACACGTTTCGTGGCCCCATAGGGAGCTCCACCGAAGGCCCCATGCTGCCGTCCGCATGCGTCCCGCACACCCATTTCGGCACACCCCTCACACGTTTCGTGGCCCCACAGGGAGCTCCACCGAAGGCCCCAGTGCTGCCGTCCGCATGCGTCCCGCACACCAGGTGTGTGGCGTGCCGACATGGGCGTCGCGGCGCGCGGGCGCTGCCGTCGGGGTTCCCAGGGAAGCCCCCTGCAGAGGCGACGCTCAGAGTCACGAGTACCGAGAGTCACGCAGACCCAAACTGTTCACAGTCGTATACATACATTTACACTGGGCGTATCCATGCACGCATTCATGCGAATAGAATCAATCGCGCGCAGATTCATTCATAATCAGACTCGCTCGCGATCCGACTCGCGCGCGCTCAAGCTTTCATATTCGGACCTATCGTCTTCGTTCGTGTTGTGTACACTGCCACGCATTTCGGCACACCCCTCATACGGCTCGTGGCCCCATAGGGAGCGCCACCGAAGAAGATATTCACAATTGCGGTGCTCTCAACTGCATATGGTTGGGTCCTTCGTCAGGCTAATTTTATTGGCGAAGCTGTATTCCGGACAGACGGGCGCAGTGTCAGGGGCGCAGCCTTTTCGAACCAAGCGGGGGGTCAAGCAAGGCGACGTCATCAGCCCGATGCTGTTTAATGATGGCTTGGAGCTTGCAATGGGCATATGGAAACGTCGCATTGGGCAAGCTGGCTTATTCATCGGAGACGGCGAGAAATTCACGAATCTACGGTATGCTGATGACATCATGTTGTACGCGAGTTTTGCCGATGAGCTGGCCATCGTGGTGGAGGCGCTGATTGAGGAGCTCGATGCAGTCGGATTACATTCGACAATATAGAGAATACAAACATCCTTATCACGGAGGACGGCGCTGATGATTAGTGCATCGACGTCGGAGAGCACATGCTGAAGGTCATGGAATGTATGGATGATCAGAAGTATTTGGGAAGGAGGTGAATGGCGAACCTGAAGAGCCGTAGCGCTATCAAGCTGGGGCAGGGATTCTGGCGAGTTTGTGCACATTGCATGAATGCCGTCACTTCCTCACAGATCAGAACGTGTCATGAAGATTACGGCTCAAGCTGTTCCAGTCGGTCGTTACGCCAATCTTGTCATTCGGACTACCGGTCGCGGCTTTGACTAAGCAGCAAATGCAGTTTTGGGCGTCTTTCAAAACCAGGTGATTCGTTTGATCGTTGGCTGGATGCCTTATGAAGATGAAGAGTGGGCAGACGTCATGAGACGAATGCGGGGCACGATCGGCCGTGCAGCGCGTATCTTCCCGATTGAAGAATGGAGTGAGCTATTTTGTCGCCGCTTGTTCAAATGTGTGCTCCGGGCAGCTTGGTCGGACAACGACTGGGCTCAACAAGTCATATTGAGGAGCCCGCTCTACACGCGCGGCGCAATGCGGCCGCGTGGGCACCCCCAGACAAGATGGGATGGCCATGTTCAAAGATGCCCGTGATGTATTACATGCTGTATCTCGCTGGTGTGAAGTCGTGCGAGAACGCGATGACAGAGCATTTGTCGAGTATTGCATTCACGCGCGGGGTCCGCCCCTTCCTCCTCCTCCTCTCCCCTCCCCTTCTCGGAGGCACAACGCTTGCTCTCCCGTGCGCACGTGCCAACCTTTTTAAGGTTTGGCCGGGCCTCTGTCTGTCTGGCCCTCGCGTGCAAAAGCCAGTGGCCAGAGCTCATCTGAACTTTCTCATTTGGGCCTCGGTTGGGGATCGCTACGGGGCCACGAAGCGCGCGAGGAGTGCGTCGAAATGAGAGGCGGGAGGAGGACGAGAGGCGAAGAGAGGGGAGGGAGAGAGGAGGGGGAGGAGGAGCGAGGCGGGAGATACGCGGGCCGCTGCTGAGTCAAAGCGATGACCCAACACAACCGGATGTTTGGGAACAAGCAGGTACACGTTGTTTTGATATTTTGTTTTCATTCTAATCAGTTTGAGCTCCGAGGGTGCAGCGTCTTCCCGTCGACCCCAAAGGAGATGACGACTGCGCCCTGTTCCGTAACGGTCCACGGTGGGCTCTTGCGGACTGGCAAGACGGCGAAGGGAACGGCCGAACGTCTATCACGCACCCGTGGCGCGTTGGGGCCGAGCGCCCAGTCGAGCGGTGATTGTCGCGGCATTTGTTTCGCCAGGCCTCGTTTTCCGTTGCCCGAAGTACAAACGAATGCATAAATTTAGATTTGCGGAGTTGTGTATTACATTTTCCGATCGGCGTTGGGCGCCAGGAAGGACGCCCAGTGCCGATCCAAGAAACCTGCGCGGCGCACCGAAGGTTTATCTTTTTACCGCGTTTGTTTTCCAGTCGAGACGCCGGAATACGGAAAACGTTGGGCGCAGATGTTCAGGAGGGGCTCAGGTTCACGGGCCGTTCCTCGGATCTGGGCCGGTGTCCATCGCCGATCACATGGACCTCCGACACTTCATGGTTATGGTTACGTCCCGTTGTCATCTTCTGGATTCGGTAGGCAGGCGGAGGGCACCGCCTGAGGGGGCTCCAGCGCCGATTCGGGAAGTCCGCGTGGACCTCTGAAAGACTGCGTCTGTACAGTGCATTGTCACATCAGCCACAGCACAACATAGGCAGCATCATTTGTGCTTCTAGCAGCTCAAGTGCTTCTAATACGGCGGGGGCAAGCAGTACCTCACGCAGCAGCCTGCTTCGCTCGGGAAGATTTGAACGGGGCCGACGGCCTGGGTTGTGCTCTGGTCTGTTGCCCCGGGTTTGTTGCATGTGCGCCGTTGGTGAGCAATACGAGGCCATGTAATTGCCACGGGGTTTTGGTTGAGGTTCACGTGTCCTGAAGATTCTGAGGGCTTTGTTGGCGCTTTCGCTTCTCATCCCTCCTCTTCCGCTTCCCTCCTCCTCTCTGCCGCCGCTGCCGCCGAGCCGCATGCACGGCGCTACAAGAGTTGAATGAGTTGATTGCACCTCCTGTTTGTCTTTGGTCATCTCATGTTTCTTCTCCTGTTCCTGCTGCTTCTCTTGCAACAACCGTCGCTCTTGACTGCCGTTTTTGGCAACCACGCTGCCCACTCTTTCGCGCCCTCTCTTCCCTCTCTGCTTTCTGCCCCCGTCTTCGCCTCTTCCATTTCACGAGTCACCGACTGCACGTTTCAAGGAGCAAACTCTGGGTCTCCACGCTTGTTTGTTGGTTGAGGTGCGTGGCCGTTTGGGGAACAATTATTATTCTTGCCCTTGGCCCCCGCCGCCAGCCATGGAGCGAACAGCCCGGGGCGAGAGGCCACGAACACAATCAACAATTTGATGGACGAGGCCACAGCGGCGGGCACCCAGCGGCTGCAGCGCCTGATGATTATGAACAAGTACCTTTTTGAGGACGCTGCGACAGTGCTTTTGGGTCGCCGCCTCGGCCTGGGCGGCACAGCGCTGCATAGTGCAGCATCGGCCTTCACACCTCTCCATTGGGGTTGCGGAGCTGCTTTGCGATCTCTTTTGAATATGCCTTGTGATACGAATGGCACGCGCGCGAGTTAACAGGGTCAGCATCGAATCATGTGGATCATTTTACGGGGGGGGGGGGGGCAAAGAACCTGATGGAGGACGAGATCCCGTTCCCGGTCTCCAAGAAGGGCGTCGTGCAGAAGCGCGGCCCTGCCCGCCTGGACCGGATAAAGGTCCTTATCATTCAGTCATCAGAGCCGTCCAAACCCCCGCCGGGACAGCGAAGCTCTCAAAGCGTACACCCTTTTGGTTGGGATATTCTGAGATCCGGGCGTTGCATTTTTTGTGCGGCGGGCTTTTCGCCAGGATTCGGGCCAGAGCTCTGGTCGTGACTTATTTCGATGTTGCAACTTGTTCGCAACGTCAGATCTCAGAGGGTCGGCCAGTGGGGCCGACATTTCCCCAGTAGGGGTGGGGATGGCTTTGTTTCTCCAGAAAGGTGGCCTTGAACAGGTACGTCCAGTACTCCAAGGATCGAGTGAGGGAAGACGGCGTGCACGTATGTAGACTCTCGGAAGCCCGCACGGATTTCTCGGATCTGCGCTGGACCCCCCTAGTTGCGCCTCCAGCGCCACTCTGGCGTCCAGGGCCGATCTGAGAAGTTAGCGCGGACCTCCGAAAGGTTCTGTCTGTGCAGCGCGACACCACCATTCAGGGGGGCCACCTCCAGTGAGTGCACGATGCCTCCCCGAGCTGGGGTTGGGTGATGTCTCGAGCGAGAGGAGGGGAGCACCCCGCCTGGAGATCATCCCTGGCTCCTCCCGCTTCTGGTCCGTGGGGGTTGTGGTGTCGCTTTTCCCTGTTCCTGTTTTTTCCTTCATTCTGAAGGAGCTCCTGGAATTCTTGTGAGCCGCGCCAGAGGGGCGAGTCCTTTGTGCTCGCCAGGGGCCGTGCGCCACTCCAGGGTGGGGCGCGAGGTAGATTACCCGGGGCGTCCACCTCGATTCAGGCTGCCCGATGGCGGCACATTTTCGACCCAAGCGCCAGCAGATCCCTTTGATCAGGCGGACGGCAACCAGGGGAGGGGCAAATGGACGGGGGGGGCCACTTCCCTTCCAAGAGATCCGATCTGACACTTCTCAGTACGGGGTGTTCCCGAAGGTCCCGACCCTTCCTAAGGGGCCAGTCTTGCATCCCGAATCCCGAGTCATGCTTTGACGGTCTCGGGGCCCGACGGGGGCCCCCAGAGGCCGAGAACAACGCACACGTATTCCGCATTGAATATTTCAATGCTTTAGAGGTCTGGGCCCTCCGTCGCCCCCGGTTGACTGCCCCTCCCCTGTTGACGCCCGCCCGGCTTGGTCTGAGGCCGACCCGTCGCAGCTGCGGAGCCTCGGGCACGCCCGCCGGACGCCCACACCGACCTTGGCAATGCCCGATCTCGGGCCGAGGCATCGGCGCTATTATGGCGGGACCGAGAGGGCGTGCCGTTCGAAGAAGAAGAAGAAGAAGACTTAGCAGAAACATATTATGTTCGGAACTCCTCGTCAAGACGGCCCCATAATGAGCCCCAAATATCGCTCCAAGACGGCCTAGGAGATCAACAAGAGGCCCGCAAGACGGCCCAAGAAGGCCCCATGAGGACCCAGGAAGCGCCCAAGACGGCCCCAAGGGCCCCACAGCCGGTCCAAGACGGTCCTGAAGCGCACACTGAGGGACCCACGATTGCACAGAGAGGCCCCAAGACGCCACAGGACTGCTTCAAGAGGCTTTTTCTCTTCCTCTCCCACTCCTCCTCGTCCTCCTCCTCCCTGTCATTTTGGCTCAAGCGTTCGCGTGCACGGTGCTCGGCCCGCCGTTCCCGCGACGGCGACCGCGCGCTCGGCTAGAGGGTCTGGTGCGCCACCGCCTGACGCTGTCGCGCTCGTGCAAGCGGCTGTTCGTGGCGCCGTAATTACTCCGAGGAGCGCCGACGCGCACTGTGGCGGTTGTCGCCGGGTTGAGAGTCTCCGCCGCGCTGTTCAAGTTCGGCGAGGCTCCACCACCAGTGCGGCAGGCCGGCCGAGCCGCAAAGCGTCGGCGTCGCCGCCAGCGCCGCGCGGTTCGGAAGGCGGTTGCGGGACGGGCGTTCGGCGGCGCCTGCTGCTGGCCCTGGCTCTGCGGCGGCCGTCGCGCTGACGTCCCTGCGGACACCCCGAGTCGATCTCGGCCGTGTACGGGATCACACGCGAGCAGGCCGCCTTCCTCGCTCAGAGCGCGGCGAAAGGGTCCCTGGACGACCAGCGGGCTCTGCTGCTCTGCTGCGCGGGGCCGCAGAGGGGGGCCGTGGGGAACGGCGTGGGCCCAACAGTTTCGCGGATGGCCCTCCATCCCTCGCCCCCCCTTGCACATGGCGGTGTCCGTCGGCATGTTCGTGTTCGACGACACGGTTGGGTACCTGTGGTGTGTAGGACCCCGCGGCCGAGCGCAGCGGCGATTGCCCCCCAAAAGCTCGAGGTGGCTCGTCGGGCGGCCCAGATGCATCGAGCGGAGGTAGTTGCCGTTGACTCCCCCTCGGCGTCGCGCCTTCCCACCCTTTTCATCCTCGCTCCTCTTTCTCTACTGGGTGTTCCACTCAGGGGGCCCACGACGGCAGGGCAACAGTATGTAACCCGGAGAAGCAATTAAGGAACTCCCCGGCGTTATCATTAGCACCGCGCCGTAATTAAATAATTATTTTGGGGGGTTTTCGCCGAGCGATATTATTAGCACCGCGCAAATGGAAGGAAAATAAATAATTCCAGCGCCCCGCCTCGGGTGGCATCCCAATTAGAATTGTAATGAGAATAATAATACGAATACGAATAAGGAAAAGCTGAGAAAAGCTAAGGAAAAGCTTAGAACAGCTAAGAAAAAGCTGAGAAAAGCTGAGGACCCGCGAGACCTGTGGGACTCCGTGGGACCCGTGCGATCTGGTGTACCCCCTCCTGGTGCCAGGATAACGCTTCCGGGTGCCGGGTGCGTTATCCTTTCACCGGAGAGGGGGGGGTCCTTAATCGCTTACTCGGGTTAGTCCAACAGTTTGACCAGACGTTGGGTCTAACGTTTGGCCGCGTTGACGTTTCCAAAAGGCGTGAAGTGGTTGCGGGTCGCCGTGGTTGTCGCCAATAAGAGTCTTAGCGCAGAAAGGACCCCTGTGATAAATCAGCCGGGGCATGCGATTCAGCAGCCTTCGGCCCATCCTGCCACCGCGCGTTGGTTGTAGGTCCGAGGCCTCTCAGATGCTTGTGGGGATCTCTGGGGGGGGCCTCTCAGAGTGAGTGACTCCGGGGCCTCTCGGGGTTTGTTTTTGGCCCCTCGGGGGGGTTCTTGGGAACGCTGGCCAGCTGGCTGTCTTGGAGGTAATGTCTGGGCAGAGGGCTCGAAATGTCAGTTCGCCGCGTTCCAGGGCCCTCTTGGCCCCCGATTCGGGGCCCTCGCACTTCCGAACAAGTCTTGCGACCGCGCGCGAAGGCATGCGGGGGCCCGCAGCACGCCTCGGGAATTTGAGGCCGAGGCCCTGACGCGATCGACCCCGACGGCTGAGGACGGAAGGCTAGACGGGCATCGGGGCACGGTGTTAATATATCGCGGAGCGACCCCCCCCCCGGTAAACTCCATCTTGGGGGGGTTCGAGCCGGCGGCACCGCCGGTGCGAGCTGGCACGAACCCCCCCGGTAAACACGAAACCTGCGCCTTCGGGGCAGTCTTGGGGCCCTCGTGGGCAGTCTTGGGGCCGTTTTGGGAGCGTGTTGTGCCGTCTTGGGGCGGTCTTGGAAGCCTCTTGGGCCGTCTTGGAGCGTCGGTGAGCCGACAAGACGAGTAGACCGAATTCAATCATGTTGGTCTCTTGGGGCCTTCTTTGGAGTCCTCTTCGAGACCTCTTGGGGCGTCTTGGAGGCCGCTCGGACTGTCTGGGGGCCATCGTGGGTGTCTCGGGCCGATCTTTCGGCGATTCGGGGCCCTCTTGGGCCGTATTCGGAGCCCATTGGGGCCTTCTTGGCCCGTCTTGGGGCCCTCTTGGGCTTGAAAACATCGCGCGCCACCACTTGGCACAGCCTGGGGGGCACGCTTGGTCCAGGCCCCTTACAGATTCCTCAGGACTGAGGACTGAGGCTCCAGGACTCTGTGCCCAGCTGCACGGTGGCGGATACAATGTAAGGAATCAGCAGTGTCTCCCCCAAAGAGAGGTTAGTGCTGGCGTGCCCAGGGCTTCTGGGGCTGGCCACTTGACATGCTCCGCGCGGGTTCATGCAGCTGGACTTAGCTCCCTCTCACGGCCGCTGCCCCTCCAGCGTGCTTCTCATCGTGTCGCTCTCCCTGTCGTCAAAATCGTCATCCTCACACTCTTCTTGATACCTCCTCCCTTCTCCCCACCCTCTTGTCGTCGCCGTCGTCGTCGTCGTCGTCCCTCTCTCCTCTCTCCCTGCTTCCCACCCTCATACTCTCCTTGATCCTCTTCCAACCCTCGCCTGCCAGACCACAGCAGTCTCGTAGCACGTCCCCTTCCTCGCCGGGCGAGTAGGCGCAACTGCCCCAGAGACCCCATGAGCTCCGCCGCCGCCACATCCTGTTCACTCCCCACCTCTTAATCGTCGGACAAGTACGGCAGCTTCGCGTCGTGTCGACCAGGGGCGACCCCGCCGCTGGCGGTCAACGTTGAACGCCGCCAGCGCCTCAGAATCGGTCGATGTTTAACGATCTGACGTTTCGAAAACGGCCGATCGTTCAAGGGTGAACGATCTTCGCGGTGTCAGGAACCGACGCGGGGGTCGACACGACACGAACCTGCTTGGGCTCGGATGCGGGCTTACGCTCGGAGGAGGGGGGAAGAAGAGTATATCGATCAGGCGAAACGTTCGGGGAGGATAGGCTCACGGGGGGATGCATCGACCCCCAATTATTTCAGTAACGCCCGATAGGGACCCAAAGGCCCATCCCGCCCAGGAACGTGCGGATCCGCTATCGGAAGCTTATCGCCGAGCTATCGGCGATTGAGCCAGTCCCCCCCCTATCGTTGCCCCTCAGGTGAGGAAGGGTCCGTCGGCAATGAACAACCCACACATTCATCTATTCCTCGTTGGCGCTCCTCGTCGTCACGGTGGCCGCCGATTGTCGCGGTCCACCGTCATCGCCATTTTCGGTCGTCCCTCTGCAGCCGAGGAGGAGGAACAGAAGGAGGGGGAAGGGAGGCAAGAAGGGGGGGCGAGGGGGAAGACGGGTTGGACCAGGAGGGGAGGAGGTAACCCTGGAGGGGAGGAAGGGAAAGAAGGGGAGTGAGGGTCGCCATAGACGTCTATGCCTCCGGGGCGGCCCAACCGATTCGTTGGCAAACTAGCACCCCGTGCTCAAACTCCAGACATCGGGTGCGGCCAAGAGTGGGTGATGACTAGGGGTGGGTTTTTCTGGCCCCATATTCTCTCTTCATACGTCCCCTGGTCAACTCCGCCTCGTCCGCGCTCATGCTTTTGGCCATGATTTGACAACACCCCTCTTGTACGCCTTCCTGTTGCGCTTTAGTCTGAACCGAGAACCGCTTCCCCGGGAGGCCCAAACAGCAGTGGGCACCCAGCGTCTGCGCAGCCATGCCCCTACGAGGTATTAGTTGCACTTGGCGCGCGTATTCTTTAGGGATACTACTGCGTCCAGGCGCCAGGCCTGGGCGGCCTGCTCGCTTGCTTGCTTTTGGATGCCCCCCTCCAGGCACCCTGGGCGGCCCGCCGCCGCCGCCGGCGCTGCCACCAGCGCTGCCGCCCGCGCTGCCGCCGCGGGGCGCGGCCCATGCCACCGCGTTACGGCCGCAGGGTGGCCTCGCGCAGGCGCCAGCCCCCGGACGCCCTGGCGGACACCTGAGATCCAGTCGTCGCAGTCCCAGAACTCCGACGGTGTGG